ATCATGTTCTTATTTTTAAACAAAAGAATAATACTAGTTTTACTAAACTGCCTCTTGAGTGTTGTGGGTTAGAGCTAAAAAGGCACTGCTTCACTTCTTGGAAATTTTTTCCCCTTTGAATTGAAAAAAAGTCATTTAAAGTTGAAAACTAACATTTCCTTTCTGGACCTAAATAATCATGCACAAATTAGGAGTTCATTTTCATTCTATAATAAAATAAGAAATTATTGCTTTTTAAGGATTATCTAAGCCAGGTGCAGTGGCTCACGCCTGTAATCCCAGCACTGTAGGAGGCAGAGGCAAGAGGATTACCTGAGTCCATGGGTTCAAGACCAGCCTAGGCAACAGGGTGAGATCTTATCTCTACAATAAGTCAAAAAATCAGCCAGGCATGGTGGCACACGCCTGTAGTTCCAGCTACTTGGAAGACTGAAGTGGAGGGATTGCCTGAGCCCCAGCAGGATGAGGCTGCAGTGTCCGTGAGCATGCCACTGCACTCCAGCCTGGGCAACAGAGTGAGACTCCAACTCAAATAAATAAATAAAATAAAGATGAAATGATCCAGCAATTGTCTAACTTGTAAAAATTTTTTTCAGTAAAATTATTTTTATAAGTAAAATCTCACACAAATCCCAGTTTATAAGAGTGTTAAGCAGGATATGTATTAAGGATCGTATGTCTAAGCTCCAATATGTAATCAGTGTAAACTATGTCACTGTTTGAAAACCAAGTTTGGATTACAGATCAGGATTGAAGTTTTATATCATGGGCATTTGCAGTTTTGTATCAGTCTCAGCAATTTCACATTCACCTCACTAATCAAACATTTACCGTGTTGAGAACATCTTAAATTCACACAGATTAACACTTGCAACTGGTAAAAGACTCTTAAAAATTCACCTTGCGATCCAAGGATACTGTCAATAGAGAGGTCAGGAAAAGTTATATCCTCAGATCTGCCCAAAAGCAACTCAAGCTTAGCAAGGTAGGCAAACACATCCAGTGTGTCCAAATTTGAGCCATGTGGAGTCCATGCTGGCTCTCCTCTCCCTCCTCTGGAGTGACGGATTCACAGCTGGCCTCGGACGGCCCAACCAGGGGCTGCCAGTCCCGTTTCATTCACCTGCCCCTCAAAGGTAGGTGTGCTGACAGAATTAAGTAGACATGGCAGGTTTGCAGGCCCTAAACACAGCATATGGGCCTCCTCCAGGCTTCCTGCCTTCTCAAGCCAGAATATAGAAGCAACTTGGCCTCAGTCTGGCAGACAAGGCAGGTTATGGGAAGGCCCCACGGAACAGATACACCTAAGGACCTAGAATATTCATTTGGAACTGTAGTTCCTGCGCCTGAAGGCTTCTTAACAGTTAGTGGTGTTTCTGCTGAGATTGGTGGTAACCTGGAGAAATGTGACTCTGTAATACTTTGCATAATGTTTCCACATTTGAAAGATCTGAACAACTAAAGGAACCACTCTTTTCCAAATAAAGCACGTTACAAAATCATGCAGGGATAAAAGGTGCATTTGAAGTGGATTTTAATACAACAGAGGGCATATAGTTCATTGACAGGATTTCAGATTCTATACTGCAGTGAAACTTTATGAAATTTTCACTTGCGGAGTTTGGGTAGGGGGTCATGGATAAAAAGTCACAATCTCTGAAAATGCTATTCAAATAATTGCTGCGTTTCCAACTGTATGTCAGTGTGAGACGATAGATTTTCTTCACATATTCCAACTGAAACAATGTATTGCACAGATTCAATGGAGAAGCCAGACATTAAAGAGATTTTCAAAATATAAAGCAATACCACTATATTTTTTATTTTGGAAAATATTTTTCTTAAAAAGTATGCTAACATATTGGGTTTATGATTGATATATTAATACATTTAACATTTCTTGATTTTCACTTTCTGGTATAGTACGTCTCCACATATCAAGTTTTCTGGAGTCTTCAATGATTTCCTAGTGTCAAGAGCACCAAGTCGCACCAGAGGGCCTCCCCAGAGAGAATGCACGAGGTTTTAACAGGCTCAGGGTCACACACCGGGCTAATTCACATAAGGCTAACCCCAAGAGATCCTTTTCTCAATATGATAATCACTTGGAAAAATATTTTTATGCCCAACAATTGGTTGGCTTAGTGATCAAGAATGTTAATACAGTGATCAGCAGCAAACATGAAAACTTACTTTGCCACAGAGGACTCAATTCCAGCATACCACTGTATCAGTTTGCACATGTGCATGTGCATGCACCAAATTGTTCAAATGCATGTTAGCTACAAAATCATTTAAGAAGGGTGGTGCTCTGACAGAAACAGGCTTTGTTGTGTATCCCCATGGAGGCTCTCAGGAGTTAGCAGTTTCATCTTACCAGCCAAGGGAGGTCAGCATCAGATCTGGAAACTCAATCCTCTTGGATTTCTTCCCACTACAGCACTTCCTTTCGAGTGAATGCCAGGACCTGCTGGCCCTAAGCAGGCGGCTGAGCATGATGGAGATGGTGGATGCCACCCCCCCTTCCCCTCCTAGTGTGGGACCTTGCCGAGCACTGCTAATTGATCTCTGAGCAGTGCACAGTTCCAGCATAGCCCCAAGAGGTCTTGGAATCCTGAACGCTGTTCCAGGTCTGCAGAACAAAGTTGGCGGGCATGGCGAAGATGTTGCCACTGCCTGGCATGGAGCTGTGAGCCTGCACCCCACCTGGGCCACTCCCGTGATTCTGCTTCTGCCCTCTTTCAAAACAGTAACTGTGATTTGGTGCTTAGGCTGCGACCGAGGACCACCAGCAAGCCCTTAACTTTAAAAAGCTACCAGCATTCTTCTGCACTCTCCTAAGTCAAACAAGCAGCTTTTTCTTTTTCTTTTAAAGTTGTGAGCACAAAGACCTCCCTCTCTGAAATGGGTGGAGATCCTGGGCACAGATCTTTTTTTAGAACCCTCTAATTTCATGGAGTGAAGGAACGAGAGGCAGCCTCCTCCCCTCCGCTGTGGGGTTCAAACTTCAAAGCCTTGCTTTTACATCGAGTCCGTGGCCTTTTTGCATGAATGGGGCCACTCTACATTCATTATTCTGTGACTTAGTTTTTAATCTACACTTTGAAAACTTTCCCACATATGACATGCACATTTCATTTAAAAATTTAACATGAGCCGGGCTCGGTGGCTCAGCCTGTAATCCCACACCTTTGGGAGGCTGAGGTGAGTGGATTGCCTGAGCCCGCGGGTTCGAGACCCGCCTGGGCAGCGAGACCTCATCTCTACAATAAATCAAAAAATCAGCCAGGTGTGGTAGCACATGCCTTTAATTCCAGCTACTCAGAAGGCTGAGGCGGAAGGATCGCGGAGCCCAGCAGGTGAGGCTGCGGTGGCCGGGAGCGGCCGCTGCACTCCAGTCTGGGCGACCGAGTGAGACTCCAACTAAAAAAAAAAAAAAAAAAACATGAAATAAAGAAAAATTAAGCCAAATTATCAAGGGGACCTAAAAAAATCCCAGAATTTACCTTATAAGAAATTATGTATTCTTACATGTTTAAAAACTTCAGTCACTTTAAAAGTACTCTGTCTGACACACCTATTGAGACTTTTTCCCCTGGTCAAAGGTTTTGAACTCAATTTTGATGCTTTTTAGTGTTTGTTTTTTGTTTCACCTCTTCCACATCAGCAAAACGTTTCCCTTTGAGGACTTCTTTCATGGGGAAACAAGTCATTTGGGGCGAGATTGGGTGAATAGGGAGGGTGGGGAATGAGGGTCATGACGTTTTTTGGTGAAAAACTGCTGAACACTCAGCACGGCGTGGCAGGTACACTCGTAAATCACCCCCCATTAAATGAGCACACATTAAAACAATCTCCAAAAAAAAAATTCACTGAAGCCAAACGCAGCCTCTTAAAATGCTAGCCGGTACACTGGTGCCAAATGGGTTTCTAGGACACTTACCTAGCAGTACACTTACCTGTACCACAAGGGGTCTTTTTGGGGTCCTCTCCTTGTGCTTACATGTCCTATGGTCTAGTCCATGTTTTACGTTTTTGTGACCTTGGTCATGTTTTTGGATTTTGTGACTGTTTTTGTCCCCTTCAATGAAGATTTAACCTACATTTATATATAGACATAGATATAGCTAGATTTAAATGCATGTATGTAGTCAGATGTATTACTTTTAGTTTTTGTCATTCTTAGAAACCCTTAGAGTTTGTGTGACTAAGTTTTGCTATATTTTCTTGCACTCTTGTGGTTCTATTTTTTAACATTCAAAACTTTGATCTTTTAATTTAGTCTCCTATTAAGGACAAGGTAAGCAATATTATTTTTCAGATTGTTACCCAATTTTATCAGCACCATTCACTGAATGATTCACCATTTCCCACTGCTATGAACGTGACCTTGTCCCAAATCTAAGGAGGCACAGGAACAATCTTGTGGCACACCCAGCTTTAGATACTACAGACTCGTATTTTTCTTTTCTTGACCTTTGTAGCTCCTCCTTCATACTTGAACTGTAGACATAACATAATCAGACCCTTGGAGGGAAACTTTCTTACTGGGATTGGCAAAATTTACAATTCTGCCATGTTGTTTATCCACCCCAAAATAGTGCTTTTCCCTTTGCAATTCTGTTGGATGCTTGGGAACTTAGTTTCTCTAAATATCTGAGTGCTTGCTATTTCTTACCTGAAAGCAGTATGGGAAAGAGTACAGAGTACAAAGGACTTGAGAATTAGATGGGACACATCATATGGTCTGTTTTCAGTCCATAAATGAAAGTATTTAGGCACAGTGAAGGGTGTGGCCCAGGTCGCTCAATTTGGCAGTAGGGGTGGGAGCAGGACCCAGGAGTCCAGCCCCTTCTCCAAGGCTTCCCTTCCACCACACGAGGAATCGAACACTCCTGAAGCTGCAGGCCGGTGAGACTGACGGCCATGAGAATCCCAAAAAGCTTCCCTCCCTTCTCCCACCCCCAAGTGCCCCATTGTACAAAGTCAGCGATCCACAATGAAGACAAAAGATATTTAATTATTTCTCAGTCTAATCTCTTAAAGCGCTCAAAGTGTTTTCACAAGTGCAAGGGGAGGGATTGTTCTCAGCCAACATTTACCAGTGATTCCGACACACGCAAAAAAACTCCCAATCACGGTGCTTTATACTTACTTTTAATTTCTGCACTGAAAAAGAAAAAGAAGGTAAGAACAATGACAGATTAGTTTACAGTGACTTCGTCTTTGCCCTTAAATTAACCTTTGCTCTTGGGAGAAGGGGGAGAGAAAGACAAGAAACATCAAAGCACAATGGTGAAATGGTGACCAGGACACCTCCGTTTGGCTAACAAGTACTCTAAAAGCCTGGACATGGTGTCATCAACACGTTAGCTTGTAAACATGGACAGGCAACAGTTAAGATACATTAAAAAAAAAACCCCACTATTCCATTCTTAAAAACCAAGCACAAAATCTGACAACGAAATACGTCCAAGGTGACATATGTACTCCTGTGTCACCTGGAGGCGGCCACGTGGTGACACATACACTACGGAAGAGACAGACATCTGTTCCACACAGAATTCTGGCTTTGCTGGACTGCAACAGACACGCCCTTGTCTCGCTAGTACAGAAATGTTCTGCAGGTAGGAACGTGGGAGCGCAGCTTGCTCACCTTGACAGCCTCCCCCGACAGACAGCAGAAGCCTCGGGGGCAGGGTTCGGTGTGCCTTTGAGGCTGCTGCCTCTGGAATGTTCCACACTCCCAAGGTTTGGTTGGGCTATGGGTTTTAGTTACAGGCCACACACTGTTGAAGTGCTCACTTTATTTTTCATGTGCAAACTGTTCCTGTCTAAAGCTTTCAGAAGGACGTGTACAGACACCCTGCAGACAGACGAGGGTCACCAAAGAGGCCCTCCTCCCTCCTGCGGCGGGACGGGGGCAAGGGGGCGCATCACAGAAAAAGGGAAATGACATGTTCCGCTGCAGTTAAACTCTAGTCCCTGATTCGGTCCGTCTCGCGGATGGGGCTCCTCAGTAGGTGATTGTCCACTCCTTGACAGAGGCATCATGGGAGGTTGTGACCAGCGTGTGCTCGTCCAGCCAGGCCAGGCTGCTGACGTGGTGCAGCCGGTGTGCATCTGGAAGGCAGGACACGCTGTGAGAAAAGCCACACTCCCCTGCTTTCTTGCACATACATCTTGGACCAGAAGGATGGACAGCCCACGCCCAAATCATCAACAGGGCCCTCAAGAAACCAGCCATGGACAGCTCTAAATAGTCTGGCATGGCGGCAAGTGGGGGCAGGATTCTCAGCCTGGGCACTGCTGACCCCAGGCTGGGTAATTCCCTGCCATGAGCTGCAGGACAATGACAGCAGCCCTGGCCTCCACCTACCAGATGCCAGCAGCTCCCTCTCTCTCCAAGTCCTGGTGACCAAGTACTACTTTTGATGCATAAAAGCAATAATATGCAGACAACACCCACACAGATATATAGTACGCGTGTGAATTAAAATGGGGGGCATAACAACCAATGAAACACCCAGGGGGCTGGGGGCTCATTGACTTCGGCCTCTTCAAGAACCACACCACAGATGATTTGGCGCTAGAGCTCCAGTCACCCAGTCCCACCCGCTCGCGATCCCAACAGCTCTCTGCTCCGCTCACCCTCAGCCTCCACCTCTGGCATGGCCCATGCCCCAATACCAAATGCCTCAGCCCACAGAAGGCACGTGGGCCTGGGGCTCCACAAGCCACCAAGCATGACTCAACAGGCTGTGAGGTGAGGCTTCAGCGTTCTGTCCCACATCGCCACGCTGACTCTTCAGAACTCAACATTTGCACAAAGCCCCCAGCACTGAGGCCAATTAGTATCTAGTGGCCCACGACCTCAGAGCTGACACAGACCCTGAGCCCTTAACTAGTTCCTGCTGTAATTTTTCTTGATCCATTTCATTCATGAAGTTGCTGGATTCTCACTACAAGACTGTCCATTTGCTTATCAGTCAGGACAGCTGTCAAAATCTGCTTTATGTATCCTTTTACCCTGGACTGGGCTGCCTGCCCTCTCTGCCAGCCCACCCGGGGACGCTGAAGACACAGATTAATGGTGCCCCCTTTGGCCTGCAGCTAAGAAACAAGCTATGAGGGGTGGGTTTAGACTTGTTTTTAAATAGGCCCCCATGGATGTCTGTCACACAAGGCTGGGCTTGTGTCGAAAACAGATGAGGGGACAAGACTGCGCTGGGTGGGGAGGAAAGGGTGTAGACTATTAGGAGGTGCCTTCCACATGGAGCCATACTCAGACATGCACTGATGCCACAGGAATGAAATGATGGTATGTTTGCTTAAGTGAAACATACTGTTAAAAATTTCACCTGTTCTGTTTTTAAATGTGGCTACTAGAAAAGTGTCACATCTGCACATGGCTCACGTTATACTCGTGCTGGACACAGCTGTCTCAGGGAGACAGCAAACCTGGCCCTGGGCTCGCTGACTTTGGCCTCTTCATGAGCCACACCACGGGTTCTAGTCCTGGCGGGTGGGGGCGGGGGATCAAGAGTGAGGCCTTCACTCAGCTCAGCACTGTCCTGTGGAGGAAACAGAGCAGCCTACGGTCCCTCGGCACGGGTACCGCAGACAGCAGAACAACTAGTGACCGCTGAAGGGAAGGAGACCCTCGCCTCCACTGAGTCACTTCCCTAGAAGCAGAGTTGGGTGCGGGGCCCTGGGATGGCCACAGTCTGTGGAGCACAGACCCATGGACGCTATCTGCCAATGCCGGGGGAAGGGAGTCACCTTGGATCTTGACTCTGGTTTCCGGGTCACTCAGGGTCCAGACGTACACCATCATGTCCATGCCACCAGAGGCAAAGTGTTCATTGTCTGGCGACCAGGCCAGGCAGACGATTTTAGCATGGTGTCCATAGAAAACATTGTTCTCCTAGTTGCAGGTAGAAACAGAGGTGGCAGGTCAAGGTTCAGATCTGAGTTACCCCGTATCACCTTCCTTGTCTCTTGCGGTGACAGCGATGGGGATCCAAGTTTATCAGGTGCCAACTTCCTGCCAGGCGACCCTGAAATCCACAGATTCCTCTGAAGCCTCCCTCCAGGCACCCACTACTCAGATGAGAAGACTAAGGCTTGGAAAGCACAGCTCAAGGTCACTGAGCCCGGACTGCCGCCTCCTCCCACCACCACCCAGCACAGGGACAGGCACTGCTCACCGAGTAGCTGTCGGCAACACTAAACACTGTGACCACCTTGCTGGCGTCGCACACGGCGAGGAAGGCGCCGTCGTGAGAGTAGGCCACATCAGTCACAGGGCCCTTGGCCTCCAGGAGCTTGCCCTGGTCCTTCAGCACTGTGCCCAGGATAGAGTACAGGTGGACGTTGCCATCCTGCAATGGGAGACAGAAAGAACGTGAGCCACTCCCACACACACCACATCCCCTCCTCTTTTGGGGGGAGGGGCCAGGGTCTCTAAGAAAAAGCGCCTTGGCCTTTGACTGCTGCCCTGTCGCTGGGCACCAGCACACATCCGGGCCCCACCTGGGCTCCCTGTAGCCAGGTGGGCTCCCTCTTTCACACACAGGGGAGGGCATCTCCTAAAACTTGCAAGTAGGCCTCATAGTGTGCTCTCCCAGCAGCTGAGTTACCCTATCCTAGGCTTCCCCCACCTTGAGATCTGCATGTCTTAGGGCCCAGGAGCCTGTCCTTTTCATAAATGCCCCAGAGTCCAAGCACGAGTCAAAGAGAAAACGCCTACAGCTGCCGCTTTTGAGTGAGGCCTGCCTGTCACCCAGCTTCTCTGTTCTCCTGAGGCTGTCCCCTCCTGCCCCAGGTGTCAGGTGAGCGCCCTGGCTGCCCTGCCCGCCCTCAGGAGCTGCCCATCTCCCCATCATGCTCAGACACCACTTCCCTGGGGACAGCCCCCTTGCTCTCTCAAAGGGCACATGCCACTTCCCCATGGCTATCGCCACTGGCCCCAGGGTCCCCACGTTTACAACTCCCGGGCTCTACCCAGCTCTCCTTAACCAGAGTCCCTGCGCGCCTCAGCGAAGCAGACAGGGTGGCAGGGAGGAGGAAGTAAGAAAACCGTCATCTGCCAGTCTCTGTTACAGAAACTCTTGGGCCACTGCCAGGAGGCCAGTCTTGGCCGCCTCTCCTCATCGACAGATCGGGGCCTCCTGGAAGGCAAACTAACTGGAGAGACCAGCCTGCCCCCTTGAGGCCACGGAGCCAAACTCAGAAAAGCCAGATATTCCACCGGTACTGGTGAAAGCCCCGGTTATTTCATGACTCACTCATGCTGGCTCTTACCCCCAAAACTGGAGAAGAATGGGATAATAGCTCAGGCCAGACTTAGTGGATGTCCTAGGAACGTCCATGGATGTGCAGGGTTTCTGAGCACAGAAAGCCTTCCGAGGTCACACAGACAAGCCATGCTTCTTCTAGGGCTCTCCTAATGCCTACATGTGATAGGAGTCACGACTACGTGGTCTTCTAAGAGGGAAACTGTCTACCAGGAAAGCGCTCAAAGGAAGGAAAAGAGCTGTGTTTCTGGATCACCCAGGAAGCTCCAGGGGTGTACCAGAAAAAGAAATCAGCCACCACATGTCCAACATCAGGTTAAATAAGCATTGGACAGTCACTGGCTGGAATGTTATATGCTGTTAAAACAAACAAAGCCCAATGTATATGGGACAGCAGAAAAAAGCAGTATAAATGCAGATGTGAACCTGTGTACAGGCCTAGGTCTGGTGACAACCAGGAGAAATGAAAACTGCTGATAGACCTAAGGCATGAGCTGGGAGAGCAAACTGTCTCCCGGTTTCAGTTTCCTTACAGAGTCTGGCTATGCAGAGGAATACCTGGTACAAACTGCAGCCCAGCCTTTATCTCCTGCCCCAGGACCCTGGCTGCGCACTCCTCTGTAAAAAGTAAACACACCACAAGATGGTCGAGTAGGGGAATGGACCAGGCCAGGGAGGGTCGATAACAGTGACAGGCCCAGAGGCCCCAGACACAGGCTGTGTTGGGCTACAGGGACGATGACCACCCTAAGAACACAAAGAAGAGGGACATCCTCGGTGCAGCATGGAGCAGGACAGGCCCCAGTGGGAGCTGGCGGTGCTCCAGCCCAGAGCCAAAGCAAGATTTGCTGGTGGGTGGGTGAGGGGAAGGTGAGGAGTCTCCTGGCGAGGGGCCTGGACTGAGGATGCAGCCAGACACAGGGCACAGGACACATCTCTGAAGAGCAGGTAACAAGGTCTACATGTCCTAAGGCCACCAAGGATGACAGCACCAATAATGATGAATAAAAACAGCTGCAAGTGAAGGGCTAACAAGCCCCATTCTCCTTGCCTGAGAAAGAATGACCTTGGGTTCACCACTTCTCCCATTTCCCTAGAAACACCAATGGTGACCAGGTCTAACTAGGCCCCATAGCCACTGCCAAGATGAGCCCTGCTGGCCAGAGCTCCTGCCTGGAAGGTTGAGGGAAGGCCAACAGCTGCAGGCAGGGAGGCTTGACCTGAGTGTGGACCTGCCAGAATTGTGCCCATGGCTCCAGGCAAGGGCTAGGTCCTGGGGTGGATGGCTCCCTCAACTCCCAGGTGAGACTGCAGTAAGAATACCCAGGGCACTGTTCGGGACCCTGAACCATGGGGTCCTAGAGGCTGAATGAGCAGGTGCCAGGAAGGTTTTGGTGGGGAGGAGGCCTGCCCAGTAGACAGGGGGGTTGGACGCTGCACAGCTAGTGCCACTGTATACCACCCACATGCCAGGCACTGGGTACACTCCTCCCATGGATGAGCCCAACACCCTCCAAGCAGCTGTAAGAGGGGCTATCGGCATTGTGGGGCACAGACGGCCTCCAGGGGCCCTCAAACTAGCTGGTGCAGGACATTTACTGCACCTGAGCAGGCTAGCCCCAGAGCCCAGCTGTCACAGCTAGAACTCCGGGACAGTAAACCTGCTGGCCTGGCCTCCAGCACAGGAGGGCACTCCACGCCCGAGGTGGACGTGTTACCAGAGTGCCACCCTCCTGTGCTGGGAAGACTGAAACAACTTATCTACAAGGCACTAAGGACTGGGCCAGTCAGATTGCACCCACCCTGCATGCACAAGCACTCGTTATCAAAGGGCATGAGAATCGCACTGTGGATGACGAGAAAGCAGAACTCAAGGAAGACAGTGAAAGACTCAGGTTAGTGCCATACCTCAAAGGTGCCAAAACATCCTGTCACTCTTCCTACGAGCCCAGCCCCATGACACAGTTCCTTTCCTGAGATGCTTCCCTCTGGTGCTCTCCCAACTGTGCACAAGGCTGACTCCAAGTCCTAGGGCTTCCTTCCTTGTGCTCCCTGCCACGAGCTCCTCACCTCGCTGACCGGGGCCCTGGGCCCCTACAAGACTTTAAGTACCTCAGTCATGACATCCTGGCCCAGCTGCCACTTGGCTGTGGGTCTGCTGACAACGACTGTAATACAATCACTCCCCAGGGCTTGCTCGACCCAGAGGCCCCCGATAGCACAGCAGGGCCAGCACACCTCTGGCCTTGCTACTCAGACACTGAGCACCTGCTGCCTACCCTGCCACAAGGGACTCATGGAAGGGCCACGGAGACTGCAGCCAGCCAGAGAAGGCACTGGCTCTGGACGGCAGAAGGTGGCTGGGCTCTAGCAGGTCCTTCGCAACCCTCGACTATCCCCACACTCCCATCCTCTGTCTTCCCTGAGACAGGTCCAGGACTCACGGCTCATGCCACCTCAAGTAGCCCAGACACTGAAGCCAGATACGGAAATCAGAGGAATGGGCCTTACCGCGCCTCCGACCGCCACTGTTTCCCCGCCAGGGTGCACCGCCACCACTTCGGGCTCATAGTCGAGGCTGTCGATGCTGAAGCACTTCTTCTGGTCCTTCAGCAGGACAACCTATGGCATACACAGGCAGTAGTCAGAGCAGCAGAGCCCCTTGGGGAAAACCACCCTTCAGCAGAAGGAGCACGTCCTGGTCTGGGCCCAGCCTTGGGACCCTCACCAGGCAAGAGCAGGGTAGTAGCAGGTCCTGGTCAGTAAGAGTCTCAGTAAATGCTGGCTGCTACCATCATTGTCACTGTAGTAGTGTTACTACAGCAAGCTTGTTAGAAGATCACTTGGCCTTTGAACTTTGGCGAACAGACTACATAGGGGTCAAAAGGACAGGAGTGGTGGGAAATGACAAGGCTCTAAGGCAACAGTGGAAGAGAAAATGGCAGACACGATCCCAGGCTTTGGACTCTCAGAGAAGAGCCAATGTTCATCATCAGCACATGGTTCCCCTCCGGCTGGGGCAGTGCTGGCGCCCAGGTGACAGGCATGGGCACCCGGGGCTGAGGGGCCTTCCAAGTTCAAGACTCTGCTTCCCAATCCCGGGAAAGAAAAGGGAGATGACAGTCATCAGCACAGAAAGGTGGACAGGAGGCCCGTGCAGCTCCTGGGGCTGAGGGCTGTTCTCCAAGGCCCTGAGCCCACTGGGGAAAGTGGACTCCTCATGGTTGCGGCCATGCCAGCACAGTGCTGCCTTGCTCCTGACCCGCTCTAGGAGGGCAAGAGCCTGTCTTCAGGGCGGGTCAAGTCACACCGGCCTGTCTGTCCTTATAAATGCCATGGTGCCTAGTGCACAGTGTCCAGGCCCTAGTGGAGACACTCCCACAGAACACTGTTGACCCAGCAGGGCTCTGGAGACAGAAAGACTGGGGCTTGATCCTGGCTGCAGTGACAGCTCATACACTGTCTTGGGTCTCAGTGTCACAGAGGATAAGAACTCAGTAGTATCTGGATACAGTGATGATAGACTTCAATGCTCGAGGTAAGTGCAGCAGTAATAATTGTGAACAAAACCCTCAGTGAGGCCTACTCTACCTTGGGTGTGTGCCAGGCACCCTGCCACAGTGTTCCAGACCCAGAAGGCAGGGGTCAGTTCCCCTATTGCATAGGCAAAAAGGGGACACAGAGAGCTCACACCACATGCCAAGACCCTATGGCTCCCATGGGCTGAACGGGGCGCATGCCCATAATCCAAGCCTTTCCCCATACTGTCCTTTGCCTCTAGCACCAGTGGCAGAGGCTCTACATGATGGGGGAAGGGTTCTTCTGTCCCTTCACTTCTTGTAAACCACCAGATTCTAACGGATTGTTCCCAGACTGTGGCCTTGCTCGGTGACAGATCTGGCTTTCTCCACTCTACCCTTGCCTGAGCCATCAGCTGTCCTCCAAGGGCAGGTAGCCCCGCCCTATCCTCCAGGCCTCTGCTTCCAAGTGTGCTGTGAGGTAGACTACAGCACCCTAACACCTATTACTGAAGATGTACCTCTCATATGCCGGGCTCAGGAAGTGGGCTCACCCACCCCACAGGTAAAGAAAGACAGCATGCTTGTCCACAAAAGTGCCCGAGATGAGACCTGAACCTGGACGTTTCCTGATCTAAAATTCCAGGACACTTCCAGCACCCTCCTGACGCTGTGACTGGTAAAAGGGAATTATGCGGAACATTCGCCCCTGGAGTGGGGGTCCCAGAGGCCTTGGAAGACTGATGAGTCATGGCAGATCACAGTAAAAACATCACACGTGATTCCAAGGGGTCCAGGACTCTGGAGCTGGTACCCACAATCAACAACACTACCGGGGACCCTCATATCCCTGAGGGCAGGTACCAGCTAAGCCTGGCTCTGAATGTCCTCATATAACCCTCACTCAAAGCCTCAGGAACACGGACGGCCGATTCTGCCCACAATTCACAGGTGAAGAAACTGAGGCCTTGAGCCACAGAGTGCAGCCCGAGGCCCCGGGGTGTAGTGAAGCCCGAGTGTCCACCCCTCACCTGCTGCCTGCTAGAACTCTGCTTTCCAGCCTTTCCCCACACCCCACAGTGCTCCATGCTGCTGCTTTCTTTGTCCCCCCGCCCCCCGGCTGTCCAGGCTGTTGGCAATAATTACTTGGCAGGGAGTTCTCGTTATCTAGGACATACAGAAATCCATTCTCCCTGAAGCAACTAAGCTCAAAGGAAGGAGGGGCAGCGAGTCTTGAGTGGATGCTTTCTTTAGCAGGCCTGCCACTTGCGCCAATGGGGGCTCAGGTGCCACCTGCCTGCCCTGAGCTACACGCTGGGATGCCGTGCTGCTGAAAGATGATGTTGGCCACAGAGCAGAATCCCGTACGAGGTGAGTCGGTGGATCTCAGTCAAGAGCACTTGGTTCCAGAAATTCTAAAGAAACGGTGTGCAGGGACCTCCCTGTCTGGAAGCAGAAGCCAGGCTGTGGATTCAGAAAAACCACACCCCACTCCGGCCAGGTGCCACTCTGCTGCCTGTCGCTGGACTGCTCTAAGCCTCAGCCTGCTGTCTATGAAAATAACTTAAGATGGTGTGAGAAGCCTCACACATGCTTCCTCACTATCACTCCTGTGACTCTGCTGGGGATGAGGAAAGACTAAGCTCAGAGACAGTGAGGTAAAGCCCGAAGCCACACAGTTCCAAGGAGGCAGGGCTGGAATCCAACATGAGTGAAGACAGGCACGCCCCCCAGTCTCTCCCAGACCTTGCAGCCTGATGGGCGTGAGGTGTGGGCTGAAGCTCACAGACAAGTCCCAGCTCTGCCCTTTGGCCAGCCATGTCCACGGATGAGCAGCATGTCCATTCGTTAGCGCAGTGCAAAGGAACCCTCGCAGAAACACTGCCCAGAGGCATGGGGGAACTCAGCAAGCAGGCATCACACAGCCATCAGCTCCGGCCTGTTCCTCCACCTCTTCTAGTCAAGATCTAGGCCAGACCCCTACCTGCCCAATGCACACGACCACGGCGTAGCCCCCAGGGCCGACAGCCACACACTTGGGTTGGACATCCAGTTTCACAACGCCTTGTCCGCTGTTGGAGAGAAAGGGAAACATTCAGTATTTACACAGCACAGTGTAAGTATTCATGTACACTTACTGCAAAACGGCAGGAATTTAGCCATTTAGAAGAGGGAAATTCTACTGCTGTCTATGCTGAAGAAAGGATTTGGTCAAATATGAAAGGATGGTAAAAAATGACCCATTACTCCAGGGCAGAGAGATTACCAGTCACAACAGGGCCTAGGGGTGGGGAAAGGGGTGGTGAGTGGACGTGAAAGGACAGTTTCTGTTCCTCTGTGAATGTGGTAAGTACCCACCACTCCATCATCCTGTCCAGTAGCAGCTTTTGTCAACATCTGTTGACTAAAGACTCTGGAATTTCCTGGGCACAGGCAGAATTGAGTTCTGCTCCTACCATTGGGGTTGGTGGGGGGGGGGTAACTTTTAAGACTCCACTACCTTTGATGAGTGAAAATCACGTGTCAGCTTTTGTCTTGGCCAACGCTACCAAAACTCATCCTAGAAAAATCTGCACACACACTCTTGAAAACTATAAATCTAGGAAACGTCTGTGACGGGCCAAGTGTGGAGTCCCAAAGGCACCCTAGAAGGACCCTGCCTGCAGCAACAGCACTAGGAGGCCAGCTCAGTCAGGGCCTCGAGTTCTCCCACAGCCGGGCCAGTGCAGCCCAGGGAAGTCCTTCGCAGGGATGTGTGACAGCAGTGAGAGGACTGGGGCCTGGATGCCTAGGTTCTGGGGCCACTACTACTACCTGGGAGGCTCAACTGACCCACAGGCACTTGGTCCGTTAATAAGCAGACTCAAGCAACAAGCCCAAATGAGGCCACAAAACACTCTTCAGGACCCAGCAACAGTCAGGTGAGACAGGCCCCAGGCCACACAATGGGGTCACACGTGAAGCACAGGGGCAGGGAAGGGGTCGCTCCTGGGCGTGGGGACACTGGAGGTTCACAGGCCTTGTCAGGACTAGGACGTTTCCCCGTCATCCTCAGCTACACTTAGAACTTCAGATCACTTGTCAACGGCTATTCTTCCAGCTCCACTGACTCAAGGCCCAGAGCAAAAACAAGACAAACACTGTCTTTCAATATCGCCACGTGCCTGTCTCACCCCTGAGCAGGAGGGTACCCTGTACTCAGTTCCTGCCCTGTGCTGACCTCACAATGGAGCATACAGGCTTCATCATTACCCGCCTTTACTGAGGAAGAGAGACAGAGCGACTGTGGCAAGTCCCTGGAGAGCAGGGATGTGATCTGTTCCACCTGATCCTGAGACAGAGCCCCCACCTGGTCATCATCTATGTGGGCACAAACAATACCTAGATCGTCTGGAGTCTGTATACTATACCGCGCTCAGGGCTGACAACAAGAGAATGATACTCAGGGAAAGATGTGAGCTATCAGGAATAGTAAATGCAAATTGCAAAGGGTCTTGGTAGGGTTCTGAGGCTCCCTCTGTGTCCCTGCAGACCCCAGGCGTGCTTACCTGTAGTCGCGCAGCATGAGGTTGGTGTACCGCACCGTGTCATCCATGCTGCAGCTGATGAGCTGCCCTGACTCATCCACGGCCATCCTAGACACCTGATTGGTGTGGCCTTTGCCAGCAAAGGAGTCATTCTCCCCTGTTTCTGAATCCCAGTAATGTAGGGCAGGGGATTAAGGAAAAGCTAGGATTCCAGGACGGGGGGCTGGGGGAGGTGTCATAGCCAGTCCCACCTCCCGACACGTGAGGGATGGGCAGCAAGCGCTGGGCCTGAGGGGACTCCTCCTTGACTCCAAGTCTGGAATTTCAGGCATGCGGTGAGCCAGCAAGATGGGCACACGACACATCAGCCCCACTCCAAGTCAGCAGGCCATTTTAAACTCCATGGGCCAAGAGGCACTGCCCAGCTAAGTCTCCTTGTGACAATGTCATACAAGGTCAAGCCACAAGATGATATGACCACGCAGACCGGCAGCAGTTAGCAGCGTGCTGAATATTGGAACAGTTCTCTCAAGGAAACCTGTAGTGATGGAGGAGCACCCTAAGAGCGAAGCTTTTTACTGCCATTTACTTTTTCTGTAAACTGCTGCCATGGCAACAACCATCAGCAGGAAGCTGGCTGTGCCCACTGCTCTGCTGATGCCTGCCCGGGGGCTGTTGCTTTATGGCCTGGGGCTTACCCCATCCCCCCAGGGACCAAGCCTGAGGTGCTCATGTCCAAGGTGTGACTTTAGTAATGACATACATTCTGCTTTTATATCAACAAATGAGAAGCACATTTCAAATGAAGGTGATGGTTCCCTGGGAAGGTAGCCATGTGCCCCAGTGGACGTATCCCTGGGAAGACACTATCTGAAGTGTGGGTGTGCTACACTAGGGTCGGGATGCAGCAGGGAGACAGCGGGGCTGGAGGGCTGCCAAGGACGGGCATGGCAGGAGACTCTGAGGCCTTCTCTCCTAGCCTCAGGCAAGCCACACCCATCTGTACCCCTCATTTCCATGAAGCGGCCAGAGGGTGGCTCATCTGTACTCCTCTCAGCTCTGTGGGGAGACTTCCTTGGGTCCTGGACAGCCCCCTCTGGGCCAGGGTCATATATAAAGGGCAGGCCTGACACAGTGTGATGCTCATGGCAGGCGGCAGGACAACACACAGCACCAGGGGCTCACAATGTGTGTGGGCAGAGTCTGGCACCCTGCACACAGCTGCTCCAAGGCTTAAAACAGTCCGGGGGGGGGGGGTCACCAGTCCCAGGTCACACAGGAAGAGTTAACAGAAACCCCCATCATTGAGGAAAAACCAGAGGACTCATTCATATAAACCCCATTCGAGGGTTTTATACGGGGGCCTCCAGAGATCATCAAGGAGGGGCCACAAAGCACCAGGAGCTCTTGAGGACGACAAGGTATATGACTCTGAGGAGGGTGCTACGTTCCCTGAGCTCCAGTCTCCCCATATTTAAAACAAAGACTCTACTGATGGGCACCAGGCACGTCTGAGTTGTAAGGGTCAGTGATCCTACTGCTTGTGGTAGGAGAGGGTTGGTGCGGGCTGGTGCTGGCTGTCGCTTACAGGGAGAGGAGGAGTTCAAGTTCACAGCAGTTAAGCCCCATACTCAGGGCTGCACAGTGAGAAGGACAGATGGGGTCAAGCCTGCCAGTGGCTTTCCCTCAGCATTAGGCCTGCAGCCGCTGAGGGTGGGGGGCCCGTGTGTAGACATGATACCCCTAGAGGCCATGTTGGCTGGAAGATCGGGTAGTTGTGCCTGGAACCACCTGACTTGCCTTGCCTCTGGCACTACAGCAACAGAAAATTCTTCCCTCCTGCCAGTGGTTCTGGAACCAGCTTTGAGTCAAAGGATATTAATGTGCCCGTCGTGGCTCCCAGAGTAAATGAAGGACTTGCCGCCGTTTTTATGCACCGTCAGACACTGGATTGATTTACTGTGACCCTGTGGAGGAGACACATGGGCCAGTGTGAGCTAAGGACACACCACCCTGCCCTCTGCCACTCCTCTGCCGCTTTCTGCCAATGAAGCCTCTGGGTGACAGATGTCCAACACACGAAAGCATAGGTGTGCTGAGACCCCACAGCCACAGCTGCCTAAACACCATTCCTTGAGTCTCACTCAGCCCCTCCCCAATCTCCTGCTCATCTGACAAACCCTCACCTTTTGCTCCCCTCCTCCAAAGCACCCGACACTGGCCTGGGCTAGGGCACAGGTCTGAGCCAAAGCCTGGCACCTGAGTACCCAACATGTGCAGACATGCGGCCTGGACCCATCACACATGAGGACAGCAGTTCAAGGGGGTCAGCTCAGAAAACCCCGAGCTTGCAGAAGCAGGTGCTGGGCCAGGTTTGTGTCATGCCCTGGCTTGTGAGGGTTCTTCTCTCAACCATCCACTCCCCACCAGGGCTGTTTGAAATCCCTGAAACTCTCGCCCCAACTTCCCTGACTGCAGATGCAAGGGGCATGAAGAACTCTACCCAGACACTGGCTTCCGGTGTAACTGCCCCTGGGACAGTTCTTCCCCTGTGGAGTGAGGCAGGTCCTGGCTGGCCCCTCTCTGCTCATCAGCCACGCTTGAGTGCCAGGTGGCAAATCTGAGCTCAGGACCTTTCCCAGGACTCTCCAAGCACTCCATGATGCTCTACCTGTAGCCATGACATGGCATTTATCTTCAGAGACAGGCACACACAGTTCTCAGAGGAACTGGAAAATCAGGAACCCTGTCACTTCTCTTTCAGTGGAGTCGTGGGGAGAGAATCACCACACTGCACTGAGCCAGGCTGTCTCCTCCCAATATATCACCCTACCAGCCAGTCCTGCTACATACATCGGGGGCCTCAGACCAGCGTGGTCTGCACTGGAGGCTTCGGTCTGCTAGTCCTGCTGCATCAGAACCTGCACTCAATAAGAAGCTAGGTAACTTGTGTGCAAACATTCTCCACCTGAAAGAACAGCCTCACCTAGGAACTTGCAAGAAATGCAAGTTCCTAGCTTCCTGGCTTGGCCCAGAACTCCCCAGGTGTCCCCTCTGCAAGGCCTGGGCTTGCTTAACAAAGCTGGCCCTCAGCTGCCCTGAGACCATCCTGGAAACACACTGAATTCTTCGGGTTCAGAAAGCAGCAAGTGCTTTAAAAAACCTTTTTAAAAAACAAGCACTTTTTAAAGTTCCCAGGTGGTTCTCCTGTGTAGGCAGGGCCGAGCACCACTAGCCCAACTCCGTGGCAGCCTGAGACCAGCACTGAACACTGAGTGTTCACACAGGTGTGGCTGAGACCAGGGAGATAGGTTTCTCTTCTGACAACTGTAAAAGCCCACAAGATTCACCATGGCACCCAGTCCTAGGCAATCAGCAGTAGCGGTGATAGCAGGAGCAGACACACACAAGCCTCCTGCTCTCCCAGAAAGGTCCTGCTAATAGACACAGGATGGCAGACCTGGGGACAGACCTCTGGCGCCCAATGACAGGCCCATGGGAAACTGCTTTTCTGGGCAGTGGAAGCTGGCTGACAACAATGCCTGAATCACTCATGCATAATTTCCCACCATCCCACTCATCAGCAGCCCAGCAGAGTAGGGACAGTCTTGGGAAGCTACCCAGCCGCCCCAGGCAACAGCCTCCTTGCCTCCAGGCTGTGCACACCTTCACTTTCATGATCATCACTCCAGGATGGGAGGCTGGTGAGGAGGTGCTCCCACTTGCCCTGTTCTCAGGACCTCCTCATGTGAGCCTTCATGAAAGCAGGTGGCATGGGGCTGGCCAATGGGAACTCAAGAGTCTGTCCTAACAGTTCAGAACACTCCTCCTGCACAATGCCACTGTCCGCCAACAGAGGAACACAGAGATGGCAGGGGCAACGAGCACTGAGGTGACCTGGCCCTTAGGACTCACTCACACGGGATAAGGATACCCCTTCCTTGGGGGCAAGTCCACCTGAAAAATGAGGATGTTGCCAGAGCAGCCCCTCCTAGAAACCACGACAGTATGAATGAGTCACTGGCCACAATGCACAGCACCAGGCACGTGGCACCCTGAGGGCTACTCTAGACTGGCCCATGCTAACCTTACTTCAGGCTTCAGACTTTCCACAGCAGCTGGGTGAAGGAAGTGTTGGAGTTTGCCGCCTGAAGTGGCTGAACACAGAAGCCAGAGAAAAGCTTAGCTGCTGGGATGGAGTGCATCCATGGAGTTGGCTGCAGAAACCCCTCCCTTGAAATCTCAGGTCAGCCGCGGGAGGTGTCACCCACCTGGGCCTGCCAGAGCCAGAGGAGCCTGACTGAGGCCACATGGTCTGGAGTGCGTGCTGCTGCCAGAGCAGGACCTGAGGGCACAAAAGGGCCCCCGGCCCTCACTCTTGTCTGGCTGCAAGTCTCCCCAGATGTTCACAGGGCGAGCACGAAGGCAGGGAGAAGGCAGGACTCCAACCAACCAGGGGAACACAAGGAGCCCCTGGCAACACTGGCCCATGCGAGCCCCCAGGGAAGTGCATGGAAGCAGGGGCCTTGGTCCTCCCAGGCTGACACTCAGGTCTCACACCTGGCCTCATCGACTCCTCCAGCCCCATTTCTTCCTGATCCCTTCATTCCCTCAGGCCTTCCCTGCTTTGACTACACAGAAATCAAGTTGTCTTCCTCACATTTACACCCTCATTCAAATTCCACCCAGTGCCAAGGTCCAGTTCAAGGCTCCCCGCTAGTGCTCCGCTTACAGGCACTCACTGCACCAACCTCCTTGGCGATGCTCATTAACAGCCCCAGTGCTTGGTGAGCTCCCGGTCTTGCCTTGCAGGCAGGTGAGGCACAGACTGAGCTCCCAATTCAGGGAGGCTGAGTCCCTCAGGAAGCAACAGCTCCCGACAGCTGGGAGTGATGGCCACTGCCCCAGCCCCACCACCAGGCCCTGACTCTCCAGTTCTTACAGCAGCTCAAGGGAGACTTGGCCTCCAGCATCCTGTCCTCCTACTGAAACCCCAAGGGCCCAGGGAATCTCTCCAGCTTCTGCCTGGCCTCTCTCAGTTCCCCTTTCCTCTGTGGCCACATGCACCCTTCTCCTGCCCCACCCCAAGGGCAAAGTCGTCCCCAGAGCAGGCCTGACCTTGATGACCCGCAAGGGCTTGCTGGGGTTGTTCTTGTCCAGGTAGTTGATGTACCCTGACAGGGAGATGCTGAGCAGGTGGTCTTTCTGCCACAGACAGCCCAGCTGCTGGTCCAGAACTGTGGAGCCCATGGGAAATGTGCTGACCACAGAGTTCACACCAACGTCCCAAATCTTGGAAGTCTTGTCTCCGGAGGCAGAAAGCAAATGGGTGCTGTCAGGACTCCAGCTAATCTATTCAAACAAAAACTGTGTGTCACAAGCCAGAGAGCTTCAGATGGGGGAGAGACCCCAGGAAACAGAGCGTTCACAGTCTTCATTTCTGATCAGGACAAGCCTGGGGAGAGAATAGGATGCACCCAAAGCAAGGATGGGACCCATCTCCAGTTCCTGCCAATGGCCTCTCCCAACCTCTCAATAAGACCTGAAGCTTTGCCCCACTGCCCTCTCAGTCCCTCACTTCAAGTTTCTAACTTCACACTGAGTGTGAGTGCTGCTCACAGACTCTGCCGAATCCCAACCACCAGGTCAGGAACTGCGTTCATACTCACAGCATAAATCCCGCCATCGTGGGCCTTGCTTCCTCCCAGGGCACACATCTTCTCCCCCGTCTTCCCGTCATAAACGTAGATCTTCCAAGAGATAAAAACACATGTGGGCCACTTGTGTATGCGCATGTGAACGTCCTCAGTAGTGAGCACAACATTTCTCCATTGACAGTGGCTCTGAAAATCCAGTGCTTACAGGCTGAGCTTCCAGTGCTATTTAAAAGCAGAGGTGTGTCTACAGGGTTGAGGACATGTCCCAGGAGGTGGGAGCGAAGATGCCCAAGTTCTGCATATCAAGACCAGCTCTCCGCCTGTCTGCTCTGAGTGGTCTCAGAAGCAGGCAGGTGAGCTGCCACCTGCCCTGTCCGGCCCCAGCCCTTACCTGGCCGTCAGCACCAGCTGTGGCAAACCTGTTCCCGTCTGGAGAGAATCGCACGCAGTTGACAAAGCGACTGTGGTCCTGCAGGAAAGCAGACAGTTACCCACTTGACGAGGGGAGACAAGCCAGATGCAAGGTTTAGGGAAAGTCTCTATGAAATATACATTCTGCTTCTAGCTTCACCTGCTAGGACAATGTAAACTGTTGTCCAAAGGAAAATTTTAGAACAACAGAAAAAGGCTCCAGGCAATCCCTCAGTAGGAGTCTGTTCTAGCCTCCCTGTCCCTGCTGACTCCTCTGCTGGCCTGGAAGGCCATCCTCCAGCTAAGCCTCCCCCGCTATGGCGTATCCCTGATCTGCTCTCTTCTCATTGGGCCCTGGAGAGAGCTTGAACCCCAATCCCTAAGCTTTGAGATGGCTGAGAACAGGAGGGCCCCCTCCCCCCCAGGCCTAGCATACAAAACAAGTGCTGGTTGGAATAACTGACTTTTGAACAAAATTAAAAAGTGACTATGACCTTCATTGAGACTAAAAGCCAAATGACTGAGCAAAAATGATCTCTGGGGTAACTTCCTTACCTGAATAAGTAAATGAATTAATTATTTTTATGAATTATTTCCTCAATCAACAAGAGTTTGTATCAGAGAATGAACCTCTAAGTATCCAAACGCAAAGATGCCAACACATTCCCAGCCCGCTCCCTCCCACGTGCAGGATATACTGACCCAGCAGGCACACATCTTATGCTATCAACTCTCACAGTATAAAAAGGGTTCAGCCTCAGTGGGTATCCCAGTCTTCAGGAAAAGTACTTCAACTCAGTGCACATCACCTGCCTCTCCCCCAAGTAAATCACTGATTAGTGTGGAGGGAACTGCATGTGTCTGTAATGTTTTGGGTTACATTTTGTCTCTCCAAAAGATCATGCTGAAGTTAACCCTGAGTACCTGTGAATAGGACCTTATTTGGAAACAGGGTCTTTCCAGATGTAATCAAGTTGAGATGAGGTCATTAAGGCGGGCCCTAAATCCAACTGGACTGGTGAAGAGGGAAATTTAGACACAGAGTGAAGACAGAGGCAGACCCATTATGCTCACACAAGTAACTCCTAGGGCTGTCAGAATCTGGAAAAGACAAGGAAGGGCTTAGGGAGTGGGGGCCTCCCCCTGCCCACACCTTGATCACAAACTCCTGGCTTGAAGACTGTTAGTGAAAAGATTTCTTCTGTTTAAGCCACCCCATCTGTGGTGCTTCCTTCCTGCAGCCCTAGCAAACTAACACGTAACAAATGCCGCCTCTAAAGCTTTTGTAATAATCCTCCAAGGTAGACTGCCCATTTTACTGATGAAGTAATGTAGGCCCAGAAAGAGAAACCAGGTTCCCAGAGCTTCCCAGTGCCACACAATGTGGCCACAAAGCCTACCAGGAGTGCCAGCAGAAGAGAGAGACTGCTCGGTCCAGCAATTTCCCTAGGGCAGGCAGCTCTGGTCGTCCCAGGGAACCATCTTGTCCTGGCTCCAGGTGAGACCTTGCAGCCACATCCACTCACAGCCCCATCAGATGCAGACTGAAACCTCTCCAGGCCAGAGGAGATATAACTCAGAGCTCCTGTGCAAAGGAACCCTGGACTTCCCACTCATCAACAAACCAGCTGCTTCCCTCAGCCAACAATGTAGCCTTCTTTCCTTCCAGGGACCCCCCTCCTCAGGCTGCTGCCAGGATATGCTCATGGCTGGGGCCTGGTGGGATACAGGCAAGGCTGGGTGCTGGTCCTGCAAGCTGAACTGGATTTCCTGTCTCACTGATCCATGTTTAATTAAGACGATGACAACGGGGAGTCCCGGTAATTAACTACTTGAAGTTTATTGAAGGTGACTACAATCATGGTTTCCACCCCAGTGGAGGGGCAGATTGCTCTCCTCACCTCGTTTTGGAGAGGGCTGTTATAGGATTCGAGTTCCGTTCTATGACTTAATAGCTCACTTTCTGTGGATTGTGGCCACCACCCAAGAAGGACAAGGATGGAAGCACTGAGCCGCCTCAGTCTGAACTCAGACTTAGGTTTGTGATTGCTGGAAGGGCAGCTCCCTACAGACATGGGAATGGTGAGCCCTTTGCTTGCCCCTGCCCCAGAGTGCTGTGAGGATTAGGTGCGGCAGCACGGAGCCCCAGGGTGCTGCAGCTCCCTGGACAAGGGATGGCACTTAAGTCTGGCTGTATGTTTTGCTTTTTTAGTTCTTTTTGTACATTCACCCTCATTCTAAGTCTGGCCTTTTCACCCTCATTCTAAGTCTGGCAATGATGGTTTGTGTTCCGTTTTCTAGCATTTCTAGGCATGTGGAGCTGGGGAAAAGCAGTTTCCCAGAAGGGATGATCCACCAAACTAACTGAAAGTGAAAACTAACTTTCCAAACTGGGATCCCTCAGCTCTCCTAACTACTTTTGCCTCCATCCCATAACCAACAGAGGGGCCAGAGAGCCGCAGTAAGTTCATCATAAGAGAAGGCCGGGCCCAGAGCCGGGTGACTCGAGTCACACCACCTGCCTGAATCTGGTCTCCGATTTCTTGTCCAGGACTCGCGTCTCAGCTGCATTGACTGCCGGAGCCTGGGTAGGTGCTGGGCAAGCCCAGCAATGTTCTGGCCAGAAGCCATCCCAGCTCAGATCCTCAACCCCTCAGGCCCAGTTCCACCCCTCCTGCCATCACCCCCACGGTCATACAGCCCATCATACATCAAGGGTCCCTGTCCATGTCGGAAGTCAAGGCCCACCTCCCCTGTCTGTGCCCCCACCCATGCCACCACCCCCACGGTCATACAGCCCATCATACATCAAGGGTCCCTGTCCATGTCGGAAGTCAAGGCCCACCTCCCCTGTCTGTGCCCCCACCCATGCCACCACCCCCACGGTCATACAGCCCATCATACATCAAGGGTCCCTGTCCATGTCGGAAGTCAAGGCCCACCTCCCCTGTCTGTGCCCCCATCTGCATCACTGGGACTCATGCCAACATCTCTCAGGGACTGCAGGAGGAGCCAGCTGGGGTGCAGAGTCAACGGTAGGAGGACCTCAGAGGCAAAGCCCTTCAGACCCCCATGAGGGAACATGCTGAATGTGCCACTCCTTCCACATAAGGTCAAGCAACCAGCTCTTAAATGACCTAACTACAGTTTGAATCCTAAGCATCTAGTCAAAACACCAAACTCTCTCACCGTCCAGCTCCGCTTCCTCAGTGGGTGAGGCCCCATTCTCACACAGGCTGGCCCTGTCCCCAATGGAGAAGGATGGCCAGGGTGGCTCACCCCTGAGTCCCTCTGACTAGACAAGGCAAGAACCAGGAGGCCAAAAGAGCTCACCCCCAACACAGCAGAGCCTGATGAAGCATGGGACAGTGGGTGCTGACTTCTCTTGGTATGCATTAGAGAAAGATATCCAGTCCTCGTTCAATTCCAGCTTGTAACAAACACCAACCTCACCGGTTGTCTCTAGGCCAGAGGATACTCCTACTACTCCAAGTTCAGACCCCAGAAGTGAGGTTGTTCCTGAGAACCTGGGACCCCCAAGCAGGAGTCAACTCTGCCACACCCACCTCCACCTCCCCCAGGGCATGGTGGGTGGTATCCATTGTACCTCCCAGCCCTGGAACCACAAGGTGCAAGAGAGGGGCCAAGTGAGGTGGGCAGTGCAGATGCTCAGCAAGGACAGGGTGTGGCACGGACTCAGGGCCTCTGGCTTTAGAACTTCAATCCCGCCGGGCTCGGTGGCTCAGCCTGTAATCCCAGCACTTTGGGAGGCCGAGGCGAGTGGATTGCCTGAGACCGTGGGTTCGAGACTCGCCTGGGCAACTTGGCGAGTCCTCATCTCTAAAATAAATTTAAAAAAAAACTAGCCAGGCGTGGTAGCACGTGCCTGTAGTTCCGGCTACTTGGAAGGCTGAGGTGGAAGGATCACCAGAGCCCCGCAGGTTGAGGCTGCGGTGGCCAGGAGCGTGCCACTGCACTCCAGTCTGGGCAACAGAGTGAGACTCCAACTCAAAAAAAACCAGAACTTCAATCCCGTAAACTTTTCCTGCAACTCGAGCCAAGCAACAGGAGCCCAGATGAGCAGAAGACTGATGTCTGCTCCTGAAATAGCCCCTTCAAAGAGACAGCGCAGTGAAAAGCCCATTAACCAAAGAGAATAAGGGCTAAAAATAGCGCTTTCCACAGGAAGGCCATATCAGTTGACAGAGAGGGAGCAGGTTTAGAGAAATACTGGGGGGGGGGGGCGGTTCAGACTCAGCAGCTTCGTAGGCTGCCTGCCCCACCCTCTTCCTGAGGGCTCCTGGTTCCTGCCCCGCCCCAGCCAACCAGTGGTTTGCAGCACAATCTTGAGGTCCAGTCTCAGACCAGCCCCTGGAGTGGAGGCCCAGCACCCTTGTCCTGGTCCACTCCTGCCCATCCTTCTGTTGCAGACAACCCTTACTGGAGATCTGGCTGGACTGTATCAGTGAGCCCCCCAATCATCTCCCTCTCACAGAGGAAACAGGCTTGAAGCAATTAAGTAATAAGTTGTGCAATTGAGTCCTTATCACTGATAGGGACCAAGGGTTGCTTGCTCCAGGTGGCCTGATTCTAAAACTTACCGAATACCTGGCCAGCTCTGATGTCCCTCTGGGAGCCCTCCCCAGCTCCCACTAGCCTCAGTTGGCCCTGTTCATATGAGGACTAGGAAGCTGCACCTGGAAATGACCTGTATCCAATCATGCTGTTCACATGCCTATGAGCTGGTAGAGGGAGAAAGGCTCTCAGTCCCTGGTGCCCATTACCTCCTCTCCCCCTAGGCCAAACACAAGGCCTCCATGGCCACATGGTCAGTTGGTGCTTCTAAAAAGGGTCTGCACCTTACCTGAGATGCTAGCTCCCTGTCCTTCAGCCAACCTTCCCTGCAAAGTGCCAGGGGGCAGACCCACGCTCCTCACCCAGACAGCACAGCTGAGAAGCACTAAGGAGTCCCTGCCTGTCTCTTCCGCCGCCCTGGACAGGTTAGCCCAGTTACCATATTCTGAGAACAAGGAACAGAAGGGATAACAGGCTCATCCTAATCCTCCTTAGGCCACCTACCGGCCACGTGACCTTGGCCAGGCCACCCTCCCAGCTGTCAGTCCTGGTTCTTGCTTGTCCCTGTCATCTAGAAGGAAGTGGGAGAGGCCACATTTGGCGTCCACGTGAGAAGAAAGACCCAGAACAGAGAGATGCACAGTACCCTGGCAAGGAAAGCTCAGGAGTCTCCTCTGCCGCACGTTTGTTCCACTCAGAATTGTAAACTTGGTTAGATTTGGCTGGGAGCTCCCAGTATCAGACCACGCAGCCAAATCCCACAAACACGTGTTGCTCTAAGCAACCATTTGGTCAAACACAAACTATCCCATGCACCAGCAACAGCTGGATTACACACAGCTCTAAGCAACACTCGAGAGGGGCATCGTGCTCATCCCAGCCAGCCAACCATTCACCGGACAGCAGAAGGCTGAAAGGCAAAGGAATCCGCCCATGGCCAGGCCACAGGGTGCACAGAGAAGGTGGATGAATGAGAGAGGCTTAGGGGTCTTTTAGCACCCCTCTAGACAAACCTATTTATGGGATGGGACTGGCATGAAAAAAATCCCCTTGGGTGAGGTGAGGGAGGCAGGAAAATGGTCTCAGCACCCCTTTCTCTTTTCAGGCAACCATGAGATCCTCCGAGTAGAACCGAAACCTGCACCCACAGAATGCTAATGCTGGAGATGGAGTCCGTTCTAACCAAAGCCTCTGTTTCAGACTTGATCTCCTGGGATTGACCTTTTTGGGTCACCCACCGCATGTGAAATGTGAGTGGGTGGGTGGGGATGAGCCACACATTCCCGGCAAATTTCTTCACCCCCTTCTTCCTGGAGCCAGCCCCCCATTCAGATTCAGGAAGATGAGGCCCAAGCTGGGCCATAGGCCCTCAGGCCTGGAGGGGGCATGGTGGAACCTGGCTGAAGCCCAACCACGGCTCTACTTCAGAGGAGCCAGGAGTCTACATGTGCTCTGTGCAATGGACTCTTAAAGAAAAAGAAAAAGCAACGTGACCCCGACCATGGCCAGTAAGGGAGGACAGCACCCGACTTCATCAGGCAAGGGTCCTGCTTGCCTGCCGCTCCTCTCTGAAATGCTGCTTGGACTTGGCTCGGCTGGGTGTTGCTTCAGCGCGCACTGAAATTCAAAGCACAACTTGCTCCCTTCCAAGGAAGTCG